TATATTAATACGTACATAGTTATTACGAACTAACTATTATTCGACCGTTTTTTATTGCTTCACTAATAACTATAGCCGTTGATGATCAATCAGATACAAAACCGCTTAAGGAGGCTACTGTTGCCGCATTAATTGAAGTAAATAAAGCATTAAAGCCTTTAAATGAAGACGCCGCAAAATCATCTACTTCTGTATTTTTAAACTGTTTGCTCGAAGTATCACAAAGACGCCCTTTTCTTGCTGAAAAAATAAAATTATGTGGTTTAAATAATTTAGCTTTACAAAATATGCATAATAATATAACGAATAAAGGTGAAGTTACCAAAGAACGGATTAAAAATGCCGCAACTATTGGCATCTATAGATTTGAGCATAATGAAAAATCGAATACATGCGAGCTTACTATGAAATATGATATAACTCAAAGTCAACAAGAAAATTCATCACGTATTGAAAGATCCTATAATATGGCTGATTTACATGATCTTTACGGTCGTGCGCTCTTAATTGGTAAATCTAGAACTTCAGATCAACTACCTGATGATGATAGTATTAGAGACATAAGATTACATGTGAATCAGTTCGTTACTCAAGTAGATTTGGCACAGCAGATTGTCGCTATTGCTTCAAGACTAATTCAATCGGGACATTTTCTTTATCAAAAGAAATGCATAGAGAAACACGGTTCAGAGTTACAACAAACATTAACCAAATTATCTCGTGATTTGGAAATATGGAAAGATGTAGTAGACCGTGCGCAAAATGAATACTATTATTTAACATTCTTTTCTGCACGTCATATTTTGACTTTTTATGAATATTTTAAAAGTATAAATAATGTGGCAAATAATGAAAGCAATGAATTTCAAGCATCTAATCGAGAAATTTGTCAGAATCTTGTGCGATTCATTAATGATGCAGCTCATCTGCCTGAACAGACTGATGAATGGCCTACAATTCAAAATAGAAATGATTTCTTACCTGTTCTCCGTAAAATTGGCACCACACTACGTAATATTTTTAATGGTATAAACCGACAAATAAAACCCATTCCAGATGATCTTAAACAACTCATAACACCTCTCGTAACTTATACAGTTTTTAAGGGAAAAATATTCGTTGCAGATTGCCATTCCTACTCGTTGGTTCCAAATGTGATTTTATCGCTTTTTGTTAATCATCAATCTTTTCCTGAAGCATGGCAAATTCTTATTTGTCGAAGTACTACAACTGAAGAAGAGATTTCACTTTTTATAAAACGTTCATTTATTGCTGCAAAAAATGGATACAAAGATTACTTATTTTGTATTGCAAATGTCGAATTATTAGATTTTGAGTTACAATATCATCTCGTTCAAACTATTCATAACTTTCAAGAGAAGGGAAAAGATTATCTCTTGGCCCTTATATGTACCCGAGAAAAAAGCATCAATCATCATATATTGGAACAATTCACAGAAAATGTTCATCCTACTAATGGTCTTGACGATGAGTCTATGAAACTTTTATACACTGAAATTTGCCGTAACTCCATATGTGTAACATCAAATATGTCTGGTCAAGGAAAAACAGAATGGATCAAAGAATCTAGTTTTAAGCAAAAAAAGGTTCCACGTACTTTATTAATAAGTGATAAAATTAATTTTGAAACATTAGTTCAAAAGTTGGCTAATTGTAAATTGGACACTTTTGAAAGTTTACATATTGATATTAATCTAATTACCCATCCTCATGATGTCAATTTCTTCTTGTTTCAATTATTAGCGTTTGGAACAGTTTTTAACGAAATGAATGTAGTTCATTTACCTGATACTTTATTCTTTATAGAAATTGCATCAACAATTGGACAATATTTACTTGAATCGCTTTCCCTAACCAAATATATGTGTCGCCAACATATTGAATGGGATCTAAAAAATCTCGTAGTACCTCATCATATCAACAGTCCCATACAAATAGCTTCTTATTATATGGATGCACATTCTCGTGATGCACTTAATACCATTAATATTCGACTTACAGGAACCGAAGCAATTAAAGAACCGTTATCTGCTGAACGTTGTCAAGAATTATTGCGTCAATATTTTTTCAGTGGACAGTCTGATAACATTTTTTCTTACAGATTTTTAGAAATCTTTGTTAACGTATTGGCAGATCAATTGGTTCGATTATCTGCAAGTTCTTTTTTTCAAGTGGAACAATTACGTCTGATGACTAAAGAAACAAAAATTCGGTCATCACTTTTTGAAATATTAATTTCTTGTTCTAAAGAATTTGCAACGCGAGCAATTAATACTAAGGATATGCAAAAAATACAAGAAGATAATGCTCAGAAAGGAAACAATCAAGATGTTGATAACGCACGACTCGGAAATATTGCACAATGGAATGATTCAAATCATCTTATTGTTGCATTTTTATCTCAGATGCCAAATTCAATATGTGCACTTTATAGAGATAAAACAAAAGTACCGAAAAATGTTGTGAATTTATTAAAGAGTCAGAAAGCAGAATTACAAGATTATCACAAAATGGAAACGATTATGTTGTTAGAGATATTGAAACGACTTGCAAGAAGAAATATGCATAAGCTAGAAGGTTTGCCTGAATATGCCTTATCAATAGAAAATCTCCTCAAGATGGCAATGATTCTATTGAGAGCACGAGCTAATATACCAGTTGTCTGTTGCGGGGAGGCTGGTTGCGGCAAGGTTTGAATCATTTAACTTTGAATCGTTTTTTCTAATCACACAAACTTGATATTAATTTACATATTTTAAATAAATCTAGACAAGTTTAATTAGTTACTTATCAAAGATAATGGAAGTTAAATTCAAAACTCTAAATCTTCATGCAGGAATTCAAGAATGTACCATCTCAGAGACTATTAAAGAGGCAGAGGAGCTTGCAAATGAAGACGAAACCTGGTTATTTCTAGATGAAATAAACACTTGTGATCATATTGGAATACTTGGAAGTTTAATCTCACATCGAATTTTTAATGGAAAACCTATACATCCAAACATTCGAATTTTTGCTGCTTGTAATCCTTATCGACTAAGAACTAAAGCTCAAAGTGATGTTGGTCTTTCGGCAAAACTATACGAAGAAAAAAGCAACTTAGTTTATCAAGTACATCCATTGCCCGATCAAATATTATATTATGTTTGGGACTATGGTTATCTTAAAGCAGAAGATGAAAAAAATTATATTGATGTTATGGTTAAAACTAAATTAGACCACCCATTTTTTGCAGAACTATTATATTCATCACAAACATTTATTCGTAATGTTGAAGAGCCATTTAGTGTTAGCTTGCGGGATGTGAAACGTGCTATTAAACTTTTCAAGTTTTTTAAAAAATATAATCCTTCAAATCTTTCAGCAGGACGCGTTTCTGAACCACATGAAATTCGTCCAATGGTATTGGCACTTAGTCTATGTTACCTTTTTAGGCTTCATGATCAATCTCAACGCAAAAAGTATCGAGAAGAAATTATTTCTATAATCGAGAAACATCATAAAACGAATCATGAAAATTCTCAACAACAAAGGCAACGAAAAAAACAAATTGGGGATTTATTTCAAATAACTATTTCAAAAGAACAAAATATGTATATTAAAAAGATGCAACTTCCTGAAGGAACTGCGTTGAATGAAGCACTTCAAGAGAATATCCTTGTAATGATCGTTTGTATACTAATACGAATACCGGTTTTCATAATTGGCGCACCAGGAAGGTAAATGGTTAAATTTTATCATTAAATATTCTAAAAAGATCTTAAAAACGATTATAATGTATTTACAATTTTTTTTTAGTTCAAAGTCTTTGGCTGTACGCATTATCAGTATGAACCTTCGAGGTGCAGATTCAAGTGATCCATACTTTCAAACTCTTCCTCAAGTTTTTATAATCCCATATCAAGGTTCAACTTCTTCAACTTCTGAAGGAATTGAAAAGATTTTTGAAACTGCTAAAAATTATCAAAGCATTAGCACCAAAGAAAACCCCGTGAAAGCAGTTGTTTTTTTAGATGAGGGTAAATAAAATTACAATATTTTTTAATTGGCTATTTTCATTAATAAATTTTTTTATTTCATTTATACAATAAATATTTATAGTTGGATTAGCAGAAACTAGCCCACATAATCCGTTAAAGGTGCTTCATGCCTTATTAGAGCCGCCGCTTGGTTCCAAAAGCAGCCAACCTGTAGTCCCTGTTATTGGGATCAGTAATTGGAGATTAGATAACAGTAAATCTAGTCGAGCATTGATAATTCAACGTCCTCTCTTTTCAGAAAATGATTTGGTTAATACAGCAAAGAGTTTACTTGGAGATAGTATAGTTCTTCCAAAAATTAATATTGATGACTTTTTGAACATTCTTGCAAAAGCTTACTTTAATTATATTGAGAATCAAAAATACCAAAATTTTCATGGTAATGTACTCAATATTAGTAGAAAAGGTAATTTTAAGTCACAATGATCTGATTCTCTATATGGCTTTTCTTTAGGCCTTCGGGATTATTATTCCTTAGTTAAGAGTATAAAAAATATAGGCAACAAAAAATTGAAGGTACTACTTGTATTTACAGCATCATTTATGAATTATTGAATCGAAATTAATTTTCATGCGTGTTTTAGGAAAATTTCCAGCGAAATATTCAACTAGCGTTAGCTCGGAATTTTGGAGGTGCTGATAACATGGAAGAATTATGTACAACTTATTTTAAAACCGTCCTGAAGCTAAAGCATATGCAAAAATATGAATATATTCCAATTCCCGTACAAGATCTTATTGTTATTAATTTCGAAGAAAAGGGTGCAAGAAATCTTATGCTAATTGGAAATAGTACAGTAATTCCATTGTTACTCTTCAGACGTATCTGCTTCGTCAACGAGATATTGAACCGTTTGTAATCATTGGATCACAGTTTCCGGACGATATAGATGGCGAGGATTATTCATATGCTATTCTCAATCGTATAATGGTATTTGCTTAAAAGTATGTGGATTACTTCTGATTTTAAAATACTAATTGTGATGTTTACTTAGATATGTGTGGAAACAGGAAGACCTTTAATATTAACAGATCTTGAAATTATTTATGGTAAAAATCTTCTTTCATGTACATTAATGTATTTTTTTTTTCCTAATTACTGAATTAGAATAACTTGTTAGGTTCTCTCTATGATTTATTCAATCAAAATTTTTATTCATTTGAGGATAAGAATTTTACCAGAATTAGCCTTGGACCATATTCTAATCCGATGTTATATGGTAAATTAAATTTCGAACCTAACTAGTGTATATAAGAAACAGTGTATATAATTAATTTAAAATCTCATATTCATCTCATATTCATCTCATATAGTACATCCTAATTTTAGGTATGCTCAATGTTTATTATTGCTAATTAAACGCAATAATTCGACTTTATTAATCTAGAATACGTTTTTTAGATGCATTTTGGTGTTGGATGAATCAAAATTACCATTTGCAGACCCACCACTCCTAAATCGTTTCGAAAAACAAAAGATTACACTTGAAGAAACTCTTTCAAAACGTGAAAAAGAGCTTTTTACGATTCTAAAGTCTTGGGCAAATCAAATTTCCAAAATTTTTAAGACAAATGATAATGACACAAAGCATCATTTTAGTGAAAAGGATATGTTTATTGGTTCTCATCAGAAGAGACACTACAAAGTTTAGTTGTTGATCGATGCAAAATAAATGGCGATTATGATAACAACACGATCATTCATTCTTGCAAGAAAGCCTTGATTTCGATTGCAACTTTGGATGGAATCATAAGATCTGATAAATCGTTGTTAAAATTAAGCGATGCTCAGGAAGTGAAAAAATGGCAAAATTTCTATTTCCAAAGTCAACAGCACGATAGTATCCATGATTTTTATCGATCATCATTAAATGATGATTTAGAGAATGATTTAATAATTATAAATACTTTTTCTAATATTAATACTGATGTAAGTTTATGTATGAATGAAATTAATATAAATTGTCGAATTGATAAACTTTCGACTTTCAAATCCGAGGCCGAACTTCAAAACCAAGTTAAACGATTTTATGAATCTGATCAAGATTTATATATCTTGCAATGTGATTCATTGATTGCAAATACAGGATGTATTAGGTTAGCGAAATTTGTAATCGAACAGCATCGAAATAAATTTTTAGAAAAAGCATGTCAACAAAATATCAACAGATCAATTAAACGTATTATTCTTCATTTTAATCGACAATCTTGTGAGGAAAATGCAAATATATTTAATTTTATGTGTGGTTGGACTCAGATTACTATTGAAAGTTTAACCGCGCCAGAGAAATCGCTTCTTAACTCAAACATTAACGAAATTCTTAACGAGAAGCTTTCATTTGAACAAATCTTAAGACAAGAGTTACTTTGGTGTTTACTTTGTATGAAACATCCTTCATCAATCAAATCCGTAGAACATATAAGGTCAGTTTAGTCAGTTTCGTTATATAATTTTACCTTAATTAATTTCCAATAAATTCATCATAATGAATATTGTTCTAGACTTTTAGTACTCAAGATTCCAGAATGCATGAAACTCGTTAACTGCTTAAAAGAACGAACAATAGAATGGTTGCAAGTCAATTCATCAGATGAATGGCAATTAAATATCGCATTAGATAAAAAATTTTTACCATTATATCCCTCTTTTTATGTGGCCCTCGAGATGTATATACGATTGCTTATTAGAAAGCCTATTGCTAAATTACTTTATGTCTTAGACAAATACTATGCAATAACTCCACTTTTTTTATGGAAGGATGAGGATGATTTATTTAAGTTTTGGAAGCAAATCTTTATAAATAAAGAGATTGTAAACATTGATGAAGAACTTACGGATCCTCAACCAAACCTCTATAGCATTCCGGGAAATTACTTAAATCTTCAATTTCCTTTTTCATATTACTTCATGGAGCAAATTGATCAATATAAAAGACTTTATTATGAACAACTAGATAACTTGTATGAACAACCTGAAAATTTGGATACTGGTGATAACTTGCATCCAGAAGTATTGAATAGATTTGTCAAAGAATTTTCTATGAAAATTCAGACCACGATCACAACATTAACACCAGAAATTTTGCAACTCGCTAGACATTTGTACTTTGAGGATTTTGTAACAACACACTGTGCTATTGCAGGATATCTGGATGAATCTGATGCGAAATTGTTGCAATTTATTTTCCGTCGTTTATGTGATGATGAAATATTAAATGATCCTGTTAGGTTGCATATATTTTGGTGGGATAACTCTGATTCGCTTATTGCTGAACTAGAATTGGCACTAATGTGTCCTTCAATCACAGAACCTGAATCCAATTTATTTGAAGGTAGTCGTTTTGGAGATTATGTAATAGATAATATAGTTAATATGATGCTCGAAAAGATTATGGAATTAAAGGATGAAACTATAGATGAATTAATTATTGCAAATTATCTACGGGAATGGCAACGTCAAGTCATTAATGTTTTATCACTATGTGCGAATATTGAGAACTCCTCAGAATCCAAATTTCTTCAGTTTTTACGTATATGTAATGATCTGGTCTCAAATCAATCAATCAGTATTTCAGATATCATCAATACAATTAGTATTCAACAAGAACTCGATCCAATAAATATTCTTTCTCAAGAGTTTGTTGATAGTGTGTTAAAACTTTTTGACATGCCTGCTACAGAACAAAACAATACATCACAATGTTCATTCTTTCGTCGGTGTTTTGACATAATTCCGATTGATTCACCAGTACGTATTCGTCTTTATGAAACACTTTTTGGACAAGAACCGCGTACGTTTATTGGATCTGTCTTATCACGTGTACTACTTTTAAAGGAAGACTTACAAGAAAGAATTTTTATTGACCTAATTAAAAATGCAAAGGCCGTTTTGGGTCGTTCGCCACGTTTAAAAGCCGTGAATACTGCTCTTAAAAATAGCGGAATCGATTCAAAAATTATGGCTCTGTGCTGTGATTTAATACAAAATGACTTTTTTGCCGAATGGACCTTTGAGGAACTGAAAAATAACTTTAAAGAGGCATTTAATGTTTTAGGGAGTGCAAATTTTGAGCCTTTGCAATTGGTATTAGCAGTGGCTTTACTCAAGGAATTTGTGAATGCTTTTTGGAACTCGATAGAAACAATGCCAATTACGTATGATGATAATATTAAAGAAGTGATTGATGAAATCGATCATGCTATGCAACGTCAATCGTTTTCGATTCACTCATTCAAGTTATATTTTCTTCGTGCTTTATATGACAACGGACTTTCGTTACATGGAATTAGATGTTCTTGCCAAATACAATCCGGAACATTTCAATGGCTAGCAGACTTTAACTGGAACGAAAGCAATAACAAGACTGATTTTGTAGCCTATCGTTGTTATGATCAATATATAGAAGCAGAAGATGCGTTTGCACCATCATATTTGCGCTGTCAACATATGCCATTTGAAAATTTTTTGAATCAAGCTCTAAATAACTTGTCAACAAGTATTAAAATGTCAATAATGGGAACTCTGATCACACATCTTTATGATATACGTGCAATACGAAGATTAAACACAAACGAAGAAAATGCAATCCAATGGTTGTATTCTCAATTGCCAAATATGCAATTTGATGAGGTTTATCGAGTTAAATTATTATCTTTCCTTGAGAATACAAATCCACTTTATAGCATCTCTCCGGAAACAAGTCAGACAGAGCTATTGATTCGGTCGGTTATTATCCATACAATTGCACTTCATTCTTGCATTCCTGCAACGAATTCTCCATTGGCTGCATATCTACAAACTCTAAGAAACTGTAAAAATTCCTACATATTGGCATCATGTGTTGACATTGAAATTGCAGATATTCCTGGACATTTTGTAAAGTATGTATTAGTAACGAAAATTGTTAATTTTAAATTATGCGAAATTAATCTTTTTTTTCTTTTTTGAATAGTTATGAATGTCAATGCAACTATAAATTTATTATCTGTGGTATGGTACAAAAAAGCGATTGTCCAAGATGTGGGAATTCTACTGAAGGAATAAGATTTACTGTGAACCTGAGGAAAAGACATAATGAGACAACGGCACAATTAGGCTATGTTTATGAATCAATCGAAAGCAAAAAGAACATCAATTATTGTCTTCGTAATTTGACAGCAGTCTCTTATCGCATATTACATCTTTTTGTACATGTACTTATTGCCGCCACTTCGAATGCAGATCAATTGGATTTTTTTAATAATCCACAAGATAGCGAAATCAAAATCATGAAATAATTGAAGATCCTTTGAATTATTGTCAACAGCATATTGAAAATGATTGGCAAATATTGATGTGTTTATTTGATTGTGATGATGAAACCTTGGCGCTTATATTACATTCAATTCTCCATTCTATGTCCGAGAGTCAAATTGAAACGGTATCGAGATTAGATACAGTAGAGAAACGACAAGCTTGGGAAAATGAATTCACTCAGCTTTACATAAATCCCAAAGTTACTAATGCTCTTCATACTGCAACTGATTTTCAAAAGTTGGTAAAAGATGCACAACATACGCTCGAAAATGAAATTAACGAAATTTTGGATGTTGATGACAATTATCAGGAAAGATTTTATCCGCGGATTTGGCGGCGAAATGGTAAACCAAGTCTTGAAAATTTACAAGCATATTGTATGGGATATCAAAATTTTAGTGTAAAATTTCCATTTTTGTCACTATTCTTTGAATATCATGAGCAATTAACATTGATGAAGAATCTTGTACCGATTGTGAAATTTACACGGATGCTTTCTTCAAAACTACACTACAGACTAAAAAGGGATGAAGCACGTAGTCTTACATTTGATATGTTTTTTATGAAGAATGAAGTTCAATTTCGGAGAAATATTGAGAAAGCATTTGAAAATTTTGCTGATGCATGGAATTTTATTAGAGAGAATGTTCAAAATGAAAGTTATGAGTTTACAAATTCGATGCCTAGGATGACAAGAAATCTTCCTATAGTTTATGCATTAGTTGAAAAAAGAGATGAATCATTATATCTATGCAAGGTGATCGAATTTTTAGTGAATTTACAAAATAAATTCTTATTACAAGTTTTAGCAATTGGACATGGTAGTTCTTCACTGAAATTTTTAGGTGGGCAATTTACAAGCAATTCAGACAACATGTCTCAAAATCAAAATTACATTGAATCGATACCTCTTTCTGAAGCACATGCCAAAAACATCATAAATTATAAATGGAATCCTAAACTACTCTCTTATAATCAATGTGGTCTTGACTTCAGTCACGGCCGAGAAATCCAATATGAATTGCATAAAATTGAGGCGGAATTAGCATACAAACTTCTTTACAATAAAGTTTATCTTAAAAAACATAATGACTCATTGTGGTTAGACGAATTCCAATATCATGTAAGATTATTTTCGAGTTCTCAAACAATTTTAAGAGAAATCAGAACATTGATTCCGCAAGAACAAATTCCAACTGAAAAACTTGGATTTTTCACCGCAACTACATCCACTTCGACAACTTCGACAACAATGAGAAACAGCTACCATAATATAAATACTGCAGATATGTCACCCATTTTTGATAATCCTACTAACCTTTTATCAGAACTCGAGATTCTACTTTGTTTTTTGAAACGAACCTCAGATAGAGATCCTGAAATGGAAATTACAAAATATCGTGATAAATGGATGATGAGGTCATTGACACTAACCGAGAACCTTCAATTTCACAAAATGGTCAGTGGATTAAAATTAAAACATGTAGTAGCATTATATGAACTTGTAGAAGAAAAAATTGCAGATGTAGAGATTGAATGTCTTACTTCCCAATATATGGTCGTACTGTCACAACAAATGAAAAATGAGATCGATGCTTTTGTTGAGTTTGAACAATCACATGGCGTTGATTGTAGTGATATAAAACTGACTAAGATTCCGTATAGAGTTTTTGAATTAGCACTGAAAAGATTCATGTTTCGTTATTTGTCATCAGAAATGTATGACCCTGGTGAAAAACTTGCAAAACATTTGGCGAAAAATACTAGTGATTGTTGGCCATTTTGGATTTCGAACGATGCTATATTCGACAAATTTCCAAATTTATTAGTTGAGAATATTTATTATGCGTACAGATATACAATTCAGGTGAGTGAACAAAAAAAAGGAAGGACGAAACCTTGTCTTTATCATTATCGCTAAAGCGATATATAAATATATTAACAAAGTTTTCTTCAAAATTTCTCAGGGTGCAACGAAATCAAATTCGCATAGAACTAACAATAACCTCCGAAACAAAACTAATAATAACCTCCGAAACAATATTCGTAATAAACGTCGAGGAAACAAAACTTCAGATACAACCATCTCTGGTACCAGCTCACGTGGGCGCCGTAATTATAATGATGTAGACAATGCGTAATCATTATGAAGTAGACTGCGCGCCGTAATCATTATGAAACAGACTGTACATAGCATGAAAATTATAAAGTATATCTTACTATATATAGTGTTATATTGGTTTAAATGTCTAGTTTAAAAGAATGTACTGTTTCTGTTTATATGCAAAAGTATAATAAAATAAAAGTTACGTTTTTTGGAAGTAGAACAGAATGATCAAAATCTTAAAAGCTAAAAAGGTTACCTAGATTATTTCTAATATTAATACTGTAGGAAAAGAAAATGTTAACATCAATTGGAAGTTGTAACGGGTATTGTGACCTGGCCTCGCAGGAAATAGTGCAATTCACTAACATAATTAATGGGCGTTATTTTGAGTCAAAAAAAATAATTTAAAAAAATGTTAATTTAGAAATAACGCAATTATGCGCAAATCATATCCATAATTCAGCTTATCTAGACTTTCGATAACTTATATTGAGTCTGAGGACAAGTATTTGCAAGCCAATGCCACTAACATTATCTACTACTGTCCTTATAGTGTTCACCCAAACATAAGTATTCACATTACAGACTTTTAACCATATCTTCAGTTTCCTAAACTCACAATTCAGATGGCCTGGAAGGGTGGACTTCTTTCTCCAGTTGTCTGTTAGCCTGGTTGATTTAGTGTCTTGCTAAATACCTTGATCTCATCAATTTTTTCAGTATCTGAATAATTATTTTTTACATAGTACTATCAAAGATCTGTGCTATCTCTCTATTCAGAACTTGCCAAGCAGACTTCTATATTCCGTCAATCTACTAGTTTATTTTATAGCTTTACTCAGATTTTGTGTAATTCATATGTCACACTAAATGTTCTACTACCTCTTAGTACAAGCTGGTGCGACTCTGTTACAGGTTTTAAAACCCAATAGGATACAGATTTTCTAATGTATTTTATAAATTTGAATTTTGTTACCAGTGGGATTCAAACTTTTGTTCTGCCACTTGGGATGCAACAACTTACCAACTTCACTAAGTCACCACACTCTTTACTAAATTTTAATTATATAATTTGTATAATAAAAATAACTATTAAATTAAATTATTAAACTAATTCTAACTCTAAATCTATCTTAATTTAAAGTTAGAGTTAGAAATAAAGACTAGTTAAACTATTTAGAGGTGACATTAGCAAAAATAGTGGTGGTATTAGCAGGTCTTTAATTTTATTACTATTTACACAAGTCGAAATTAAAATATCTTACAAAAGGTGTAGTGACTTAGTGAAGTTGGCAAGTTGTCGCACTCCTAAGCAGCAGAACTAGAGTTTGAATCCCACCGGTGACAAAATTTTGAATTTATAGAAAATGCATTTGGAAGACTGTATCCTATTGGGTTATAGAACCTGTAATAGTGGTTGTACCAGCTTGTACTGGGAG